AGATAGATAGATAGATAGATAGATAGATAGATATTTTAAGAAAATGGCTTACGCAACTGTGGGGGCTGGCAAGCCTGAAATCTGTAGAGTGGATCAGCAGGCTGGAAATTCAGGTTAGAAATGATGTGGCATTCTTAAGTTTGAAATCTTCTGGGGAAGCCAGCAGGCAAGGTTTCTATACTACAGTCTTGAAGCAGAATTGTTTTTTTGGGGGAAAACTTTAATCTTTCCTCTTAAGGCTTTCAACTGATTGGATGTGGCCCTCCCATGTTATGGAAGGTAGTCTACTTTACTCAAGTCTAATGATTTAAAAGTTAATTGCATTTTAAAAATAGCTTCACAACAAAAACTTGACTGGTTGTTGAACAAACAACTGGACACCAAAGCCTAGCCAAGCTGACACATAAAATTAACCATCATAGTCCACCCCTTGTCAACGTGGCACCCATACATATCTCCTTAAATCATACTTAATCTCTGAAGGTCTCAACAAAGTCATACTTCTGCCTAATATGACACAGCTATCCTTTGTAAAACTAAAAATCCACTAACCGTTTCACCAGAAGATGATGTAAGCCCTTGGGTGATAATCACTCTTCCCTTCATATTCTGTAACTTAAATACTATGATGCAAAGTCAACACATCTTATGTTATATAAGAAGAAAAATATATATACACAAATATATATTCATAATAAGGAAGAAACATGACAATTACAGTTGTAGTTTCTGCAACTGCCTACCTGTTAATAGCTGGTATTTATAAGGACCTATTTCCCCTCTCTATTCCAGATTCTCTTAGCCCACAAAAGCACCTCAGCTAGTCATGTTGTTTTACCTGTTGGGATGACCCAAACCTTCATTCCAGAAGGTCCCAGATCATTAGTAGTCTTGTCTGAAATGGGTTGTAGTTTTCCATTGATTTTAAGCACAGAGCATAATAGTACTAAGAGATGACCTAAGAGAGCTTTTGTATTCTAGACATACTCTATAACTTCATTTTATAGTGGCAGCATGTATGTCAATGGTATGGATTGCCTTGTCTCCATCCAAAATAATATATCAAAGCCCTAAACCCAATATGATGATATTTGGAAATGGAGCCTTTGGGAGGCAGTGAGGTCTAGATGAGGTCCTGAGGGTGGGGCCCACATGATGGGATTAGCACCCATATAAGAAAAGTCATCAGAGAACTTGCTCACTTTCTCTCCACCATGTAAGGACACAGCCAAATGTGGCCATCTTCAGGCCAGGAAGAGTGTTCTCACCAAAACCATACCCTGTTGGCACCCTGATCTCAGACTTCTAGCCTCCAGTATTATGAGAAAATAAACTTCTGTTGTTCATGCTACCCAGTTTATGGTATTTTGGTATGGCAGCCCGAGCTGACTAAGTTAGCCACCATTATATTATTTGTAATATAATTCCTTATATGTGAAAAATCACACACACCCTTTTTACAAAAAATATTGCCATGGACACCAAGATCATGTTGCCCAAAAAGTACATAGAAAAACAGAATTCTGCATCAATTAAGAGTAAATAAAAACATTTTTCATATTTAAACTGCTACACAACTATTGTAAAATCTTCGAAGGCAAGAGTTGCATGAGTATCCTCAGTGCCTAACGTAGTACTTGTCATCTACCAGTGCTTAATGTCTATTACTTACAATGCATGCATAAATCAGACAGAAATCGTAAAGCCATAATAAACAGACAAGGCTACAACAACAAATATTTCTTTTCATGGGCTTATTATCATGTAACAAGTTTTCCAAATTTTAATGTTACTACAAGTAACATGGAACTCTTGGTCTGAGGAAACCAGTCTCCTAATATCCTCTTTACACAGACTATTCATTGTGACTTCTACAACTGCAATAAGTCCTTTCCTTTGCTGTCTTACAATCCATCTCCTTTCCTTGGTCTTCCTTTCTTAGTCCAAGTCCTGGATCCTTTCTTACTAACTGGGTGCATGTGATAGCTCCCTTTTTTGCCTTCTTTTGAGCTAATAGTCCCTAAGAGGAAATCACTCCTATTTTGTATCAGTTCCGAGAGATCTATTTCAGCTTCTCCAGAAAAGGTGATCACATTTTTTTTATTAACCTGCTACACATAAATCTCAAAAGATTTTTTGATTGCTATACCAATGAACTGTTATTGTAGAGAACCACATCTTGATTACTGGCCTGGATAGAATTTCAAGAAATGGAGTTATTAGGAAAAATCTAAAAAGAAAAGTGTGGCTTTAAGTAAGAATTATATGTATAGTCCTTTCTTTTTTTTTTCTTTTTTAACGTCATATGTGTTTATACTTCCACTAACTTTCCAAACGTGTTAATTCAAATTGGTCTCCTAAGCATTCCCTCCTGTTGGTAGCATTTGGCTGTATAGTAAAATGAGCAGCGGCCACAGAGCATTTGCTAATGCTTCCTTCCTCAAGGGGAGATTAGTACAAATTTAATTTTGTGTTAATCCCCACCTGAGGTATGATGGCCTCTGCTAGTTTTTGGTTTGTCGAGTTCAGATAATTGCTACAAAAATAGTTTGCTCTTCTTTGCATAATATAGTACCATAGCAACAATATTTGCACTGTGTTATTAACCTGTTTTGCAGTAAATGGTGTTTACTTATGGCCTTGTACATGTGGTATCTATTAAATAACATCTCCAAGAATGGAAGCTTAGCTTACTTACTTGTTAAATGGAAACCAAAATGTCAAAAATAATTTGGAGGAAAGTAAAAGTAAATGGCAAACTTTGACAGTCATGAGGCTTACTAAAGTTATCAAAAATGCAGATTACTTAGACATTAATAAAAAAATAATAATAGTTTTTCAGGCTTGACTGGGACCATTTATGGCAAGATTTCAACATCACTTCACACAGCCTGACACATTCACATTTTCTCATTGTAGTTAAGATTTTAATTATAATGCAATACAAATTTTATTAGTTATTTAGTAATGCTATAAAATAATTGAAAGAGACACTGAATGATTTATAAAACAAGGGCATTAATTCCATGAGGCCTTCTTAAATTTAAGAAGAAAAAAATTAATAAAATATTTTTATGTAAGGAAAAAACACCATCTTCCATGGGTTTGTTATTGTTTTTGAATGTACAGCCTGTATTTCAGCTGCCTTTAAAAATGATTTGAGACAGCCTAGCATGAACATAATGCAGCACATGTCCATTCAAAATGTTTTTAAATGTAAATGACCTGGATTCATTTGGGACAGCAGAATCTCAAGTACTTTGGCCTAAGGATGGTATCTGTTTTAGGATTCTTGTTGTTGCTCTTCTTGTATTTTTAGATAATTCATATTGCTAATAAAGTTTTACCTGTGTGTCTGTAGACCTTGAGCGTTGAGTGTGAGGCTATACAGAGATTCTGAGGCCCATACAAAAATCTGCACAGCCTATGAAACTGTTTCATCCTGACATCGAGATGTCTGAAATGAGTGTACAGCCAGGACTCAGCCTCGTGACTGTGGTGGAGTTCAGAGNAGCGTTGAGTGTGAGGCTATACAGAGATTCTGAGGCCCATACAAAAATCTGCACAGCCTATGAAACTGTTTCATCCTGACATCGAGATGTCTGAAATGAGTGTACAGCCAGGACTCAGCCTCGTGACTATGGTGGAGTTCAGAGAGGAAAATGCTTCCGGTGGGAATTAACATAGAAAAAATTGGGTAAGTGTCTCAACATAGTCATTATGATTCCTTTATTATTTTGGCATTTTACTTTAATATTTATGAATGTGCTGTATATATGTGTATGTGTATTTATGTATATATATTATATATATGTGATATACATAAATGTGTATATATTTACATATATGTCACTTCTATTAGAAATAAAATAGCTAAGTACACCTTCTGATTTTGATAGAGCTGGAGAAAGGGATCCCACATTCCTCTGGATCAGAGAAAAAGGAAATTTAACTAGTGTAAAGGATGGCTTTCCTCCAAGGGAGAGGAAAAACTTCCTCCAGCAACCAAAATCCAATCTAATCCAAAGTAGTATTTTGTATGCATGTAAAAATGGATAATATTTGAATTAGTCATTCATCAAAGCATTAAAACTCAAAAACTTATTTCTGCTCTCCAGAATGGCGCCATTGCACATTTCTGCTCCAGAATAATTCGTGTGGATGTATCTGGCAGCCAAACATGAAAGTGTGGGTGCCGAGTGGCTGGCAGCTGGCCCAGTGTCTAACCCTGCTGTTTTAGAATGCCATAAAATAAGCACAATTTAATCTTTCCAAATCATTTGGTCAGTGGCTGTGATTTCCGCAGAAAATAACTTCAAAGAAGACAGGCACCTTTGTTGATGCTTTGTTTAAGCAGCCTTGAGTGCCAATGTATTTAAGAATGGAAAGCAAAAACCTCAACGCCTGGAATACATTCTTGGGAATATATAAGGGATGTGAAGAAGGGCCTATTAAATTTCCCTGGTGGTAAGGATGTGCTCAGATTGATACAATTAAGAAATAACGTCATCAGATAAAAATTCATCAACAAAGCAGAGAGTTCGCCGTAGATGCAGAGAACAGATTGGCTGTTGCCAGAGGTGGGAATGGGGCACTGGCGAAATGAGTGAAGGAGATCAAAAGGTGCAAACTTCCAGTTACAAAATAAATAAGTCATGGGAATGTAATGTACAGCATGGCGACTATGGCTAATGCTGTTTATTGCATATTTGAAAGTTGCTGAAAGAGTAAATCTTAAAAGTTCTCATCACAAGAAAAAAATCTTTGTGTATGGTGATGGATGTTGACTAGACTTGTTGTGATCATTTCATAATGATTCGATAGATACAAATACAGAATCATGTTGTAAATCTGAACCTAATGTAATGTATGACAGTTATACCTCAATTAAAAAAAAAAAAAAAAAAAGCAGAGACTTTGCTAGGAGGAACACAACCAGGGTATAAAATTGCAATATTTACTTACGACCTGAAAAAAAACCAAAACACTTCTTTAGGATACTCTCCATAGTAACCTCATTTAATTTATGACATGGATCTGAAAGAAAGATTGCATCATTTTGTCTCATGGTTACTTAGAAACTTGTAACAACCAACTCTGATTTTTAAAGCTGTCATTTGGAGAATATTATGTGATAGATTTCAATAATTGTGTCCATCACGTGTGAAGACAAACTCTGTGGAAATTAACTAATCTCTCTTGAATAGGAAAACTTTTACCTCTTCATTTAGTGCTTTTTTCAATTATGTTCTATACATCATTATCTTAATAGTATGAGTTATTAGACCTTCCTGCTAGCTTTTGATTTTTAATAATTTAATTAAAAATGCATATATTACTACATCAAAAATGCATGAGTTTTATTATATATTTGATGTAATATTTAAATATAATTTATTTCCTTTGTAGTTCTATGTAGTGTTATGTATTTACAATTTACAAATATTTTTTCTGAGAAAGAATCCATAGCTTCTACAGAACTCCACAGAGGTCAAGTTAATGGCATAAAAATGTTCAAAATTCCTGCCCAGGCCATGCTTCTCTCCCATGTGTGCTCCTTGATGATGTTGGGTCTTCCGCCTCAGAGGCTCCCTGACCACCCACTCCAAAGCAGCCTCCTGGGCACTTTTTACCACAACATCCTGTTTTCCTTTCATCATAACATTTATAAATGCCTTCTAGTTTCTTGTTCACATGGCTGTTTGTTGGCTCAGTCTGTCATACTTGATCTGGTTGACATTTTCTTCTTAAATGTCCCATTCTAATAATTCAGGCTTATCCCTCTGGATTTCCTTCAATGAATAAATTTCCTTTAGATGATGATTTTTCTTAGTGTTTGTCTACTAACACTTTTTACTTTTAAAATTCATTTTTCTATCTGGACATTTTCATCCACTCCCACTACTGCAAACATCATCAGAAGTGTATTATTACTCCTATCTGAGTGAACATACAGGTGACAGCCCTTTATCTGTCATCTTGAAAGCCATAAAGCTCTTTGTATTTTCTACAAAACTCACTAGCAGCAAAACAGAACCTGAATTTGTTTTGTTTTGAACAAAATATCTTTTATTTATCTCATGTCTTGTGAATATTTATACATTTCACCAACAGATACATGGATCATGCTAAGGACACTGAGTAATAAATTACTTTTTTAGGTCTGGAAAACTGAAATTGGGAAATAGGCGATCAAGAGATCCTATGCTTTTCTAGCCCAGATCTAGAGACGGATTTAGGTGTCTTCTGAGCATCCCACAACTAAAAACGACTGCCTTGACCTATTTAGCAGCCACATCTCCACTCAGTCCCCTAAGGACATCCAGTGCTTTGGCCACATCAGACCAGGTTCCTGTGTGCACCTCCCTGCCGCATACCAACGCCACCGGAGAACAGACCCTCCTGTGCAGTTCCTGTAATGCCTAAATGTCTCTGGGAATCCTTCCCTAGTCTACCAAAGCAGAACTTATGAATGTCATTTTGGGACACTTCTGATTGCTGAAAACCCTTACCACAGTGAATTAGAAAAACACTTCTAGGATTCCCCTTGCTCCTTCATGAGGAGCTCCGTGAGTGGAGCCATGCCATAGGCCCACAGCCAGCAGGATGCTGGCTCTGTTCTTAACAGGTATGTGTTAGATAAATTCACCATCCTTTCCAAGACTGCTCCTCCTGCTGCATTCCCCGTTGCTGCTCATTGTACTAACAGGTATCTAGTCACTGAAGCAGCATTTCTGTGTTCTCCCTCTCATCTCTTTTATTCACATCACTCACTCATTAACCATGTCTGAGAGAGCCCACCTCCTAAATGTCTCTGAACCTGTCATCTCTCCTCTATCCCTACACCACTGCTACCTGCCCACGTGAGCTCTCAGCCAGTGTTTTTACACACCCACTGTCGTATTTCTCTACCTGCAAGCTAACTTTCTATCTAGTGCCTTGTTATTCTAAATGAATGATTTGCTAGACTATAATTTAAAAAGCTCTAAATGACATCATACTACTTGTATAGTCCTCCAAATCATTGGCAAGGCATAAATGGTCTTCATAATTTGCCCCCAATGTATTATTTAAGCATCACATTAGGTTGTCCAACCTCAAAGTTCTTTTTTTTTCTTTTTTACTTTTCTTTTTTCTTTTCAGAAATAGTTTTATTTTTTGTTTTTTTTCTTTTTGTTTTTAAATTTTTTCTCTTTTAATTCAATCTTTGTTGTTGAAAGTATTACAGATGTCCCCCTTTCCTCCACTGACCCCTTCTACCCTGCACCCACCCTCTTTTTTATTTCTAAACAGTACTTCTGTGACTTCTAGAATGTAAGCCTCCATATTGGCCCCATGTCAAGTTCCTAGTCCTGTTAAATATCCAACCTAAATTTTCACCTTTAAAAAAATTCTCCAAGTAGAGCTAATTTCTCCCACATTTTTCCTGTACGCTGTACTTATCACATGTACATATGCCTTCCCTAAAGAGAAGTCCCCTGACTTATATTTATACAGTCAAAACACACAACCTAGTGTTTTCTGACAGGTTTCATTCAATAAATTTTTATTCATTTAGATTCTAATTCTAATGTCCCAAAATAGGATGTTAATATGAAATAAATAAGTTACAATATAATCAAATAATTATAATCATAATTCAATAAATTAGTGGTTGAGGCCACAATTTAAAGACATGGAGAAATAATAATGATGCATTATTAAGTTAAAAATTTCAAATCATAAAACAATATGTATAAGACCGAATTTGTGACACAAATTATTATTTTGTCATAAATGTTAACATATATTATACCTAAGTAGCTATATAACCAATTATTCAAGTTTTTTTCTTTGTGCTTTCATATATTTTGCAAACTTATATTCATTGTAGAAAATTATTTTGATAAAGTATTTAAGAGAAACTATTTAAAAACAATTGTTGCAAAGAAGTTTTATATAAAGATTATTATGTTATTAAATATTATCATTTTCAAACTATTTAACCTAAACTCATTGTTTCTCCATAGCATTAGCAAATTATAGTTAAGGTTATAAGATTTTATAACAATAAACCTATTAACATTAGTTATTTCAGGCAAATGGACTAATGCTTCTATATTTCTACTTTGAAGTTCATATCTAGAAAAAAGTATATATAGTCTTGTAGCTAAACAAAAATGTATCCACCTAACCATTAGATTTGTTTATAAAAGATGAGAATGGAATTGCAAGACAACTAGATATAATGAATAAAAATAAATGCATTAAATGTTTAATTCAAATAATTTGAAGGCATCTTTGAAATAAAACCTAAGGGAAAGTGAAGGGAATATTTAATAAAACAAAAGATTTAAATATTAGAAAATAGAAAAACAACAGAATCGAAAGCAAAAATATACTGGCTGTTTTGGGGAGGAATACAATAAAATGATCAAA